TTCTGCAGCTCGTATTTTGAAGAAAAGCAAAGTAAAGGGTGGTTTTAAGGAGCCAAGTTGGATATTAAAGATAATCAATTCTACATAATAAAAATAGATCTCTGGCTTTGCCTAAACGTTTATGTGCACCTGCAACGTCCGCTCCAAGTGTGAGAGATTATTTAGTCAAGCTGTAAAAGAACAAAACTATGGTTTTTTTGATTGATAATTTTGGTAGAATGTAAAATGATTAATAAATTTAAAATTTTTTGTTAACAATGAATGAATAATCATTCATTGAATAATTAATTTAATGATCAAATGGGGCATGCTTGCAACAAATCTAGACAACTTTGTCTGGTTTTGTTGCAGTATGCCCCAAATGTGACTGACCTCTCACAAAACCTCTCGGACGCCTTTTAGATGTGCACTTGCAATTTCACCATTGACAAATGGAACTCATTATATACTATAAAAGTATATTACAAGAGTCGCTTGCGACTTCAGGTTTACACCTGAGATACCTTATAGGCTGTCTATTACTATGTAGGGGTTATAGGTTCAATGCGAGAGAAGTTTGTTAAAGGAAATTAATTGTGATACAAAATTAAAAATCACGTCCAATGATCTTTAATTGTTACGTTACACACCTGGAAAGGATCATATTGTTATTATTGTTATGGAGAAGATCTGTGGAGGCAAACAAAACAATATTAACGTTTTAAGATATTTGAAAGACTAACAATGACAAATAAAAAAAAATTTCGAATTTTAGTATTTCCATATTAATATATTATAATTGGATTAATAAATTTACAAACAAAGTTCACACAGTTCCATTTTTCGGCCGTTAAAGGCGAATTAAAAAATATATATTTAGCGTTTTTAATATTTTAAGGAAAGAAGAATTTAATTATTCCCGTTTCGAATCTTCCGAAAAAAAAAAAAACTATCTTTTTGGAAAATAAAAAAATTTAAAAATATATATATATATATAGCATAAAGGTTTGATTTTTCAATAAAAAAAGAAATTTTCCTATCGAAAAATTTAATTTTATAAACCAGTAAAATTTTATTCGCTGAGCGAAAATTTAAAAATACTTGCCAATAACAACCTTTTACAATAATTTAAAGAGTCAAAATGATGATGACATCTTTAACCACAATAACACCTTTCGAATCACCATTTCAATCAAGAAATCCATCAACAACAAATCTAAATACAATTTCAACAAATACATCAGAAATCTCATTTATTAATATAACCCCTGATGAAATTATAAATTCTATAAATTATTGTAATGATTCTGATGATGGCAGTATTCATAAATCAAAAAGCAATGATTTAGAAATAAAGCTAGTCGAACCGATTGTATTTTTTAGAGATGTACCTGAAGAAGCTGTTGGATCTATTTTAAGAGGTGAATTGATATTACATTTAAATAAGCCTACAAAAATCAAAAAATTAGAAATGAAATTTGTTGGAACTACCAAGGTTTTATGGTCCGGAGGTAAATATTAATGATGGTAGATGATAATTATCAGCATTGATTACATAAATCATCATATTAATGAATTATTATTATTATCATCATCATCATCATTGTAAAAAATAGATAAAAAAACAGTCATAGAAGAGAGAGAAGTTTTTTCACATAATTGGAAATTTATTACTGCAAACAAATCACCACCCACATCTTCAACTTCTTCATTAAATTCACCATCACTTAATAAATTTAACTTTTTAAAATTCAATAAAAAATTTCACGGCGACAGCAGTAATGATAATAACAGTAACTTATTACAAATAGGAGTTTACACCTATCCATTTGAATTATATTTACCGGGTCATTTACCAGAAACATTAAATACAGATTTAGGTTCTGTAAATTATTTTTTAACAGCCAAAGCCATTAGATCTGGATTAAAATCAAATTTAAGGATAAAACAAAATATCGAAATTTTACGTACAATACCTGATCATATAAATTCTCAGGGAATTGGATTTGCAAGAGATTTCAATGATTTACTATCATACGAAATATCCTTACCAAAAAAAGCTTTTTCACTTGGTCAATCAATACCAATCGACATGAAGATTTGTCCAAATGTTAAAAAATTAAAAGTCAAAGGTGTCAAAATTCAGATAATTGAAAAAACAACTTGCACTTCAAAAGGCCAAAACTTTACTAATACAAGGATTCCTGTCACGCAAGAATTACCTTATTTTGGTAAAGAAACATTGTTAGAAGATCAGGAAGATGGCGATGTTGGAAATGTCACTTATCAACAAATAATGGATGTAAATTTGCCTGTTTGTTCAGAACCTGTGCATTATTCTTGTTCGACTTCTTTAATAAATGTGTCGCATGATTTAAAATTTTCTTTTGCAATCACTTTACCACAAGATCCTCCAAAGAATGCAGAGCTTAAACTAAATATCCCAATAACATTATTATCTTGTAAGGCAATTGATGATTTTATAGCTTTACCAAATTACGAGGACAATGATTTTTATTGTCCTTGTAACCCCGCATATCAAAGAACGGCAACAATTGCGTTGAATGGTAGTTATAATCATATCAATAACAACAACAACAATGATAATAATAATCAACAACATTATTTAAATATACCTCCATACAATTACTTATTTAAATCACCACCTAGTTACGAAGCATCAATTTCTGGTGATTTATAATTTTTTTTTTTAATTTTTCAAAGAAATATAACATTTAATTTAGATCTTTCTTTTTTTAATTTGTTAAATATATATATTTGTAAATAATATTAGATAGTTATTAATAAAAAACATTATGTGATATTATAAATATAATAATAATTTTTTTTATAAATATGCACAATATTCACATTTATTTTATACAACACTTTATTATAATAATTCAATTAAAAAAAATATATTAAATCTAAAATTTTTTATATTAAAGAAATTTGTTTAGAAATTTTTCTTATTTACATCATTTGAAAATTCCGAATAATTTTTTATTTGTCGTGTACGCCGATTTATAACTCTTTGATATTTATATGTAAGATTTACAATATCCTAAAGAGAGATAAATAATAATGTAATATTATTAGTATTTAATAATAACAATGATATTATTGTTGCTTATTCAAAATACCTTTAAAACAATAAATAAACATCCACCAATTATATTACGATGAAAACTGTCGGGTATCCTTGAACGGATAAATGAGAAATGGCCAAGCAAACTATTTAATAATAATAAAAATTTATGAACTTTAGATTATGACTATGATTATAAAAATTATAATTATCTTACCCTCCAACCATGGCCGAAATAACTGTATATTAAATTATTAAATTATTAAATTATAAAATATATGTCAGTCTGTTTTTCTTAATCTTTTCGTGTTTGGAGAAAATAATTATTACTAACATGGTAAAAATAATGCTCCAACAATTTTACGTCCTGCATTATTTCTATCCAAACGATCTGACATATCTTGATCATATTGCTGTTGTACATTATTATTATTGTCATCCTCTCCATTTTCGTTTTGTGTTGAAAATGTGTATGGTTCGATCTGTCTTCTCCAGTTTAATTCCATCCTACCAAATAAATATTGATACGTCCAATTATATATTATCCTGATCCATGGTAAAAATGAAATCGTGAGTGACGGATTTGGTGGCATTGTCATTCTCAAATGATTCATCCTAACTAAAAACATTGGGATAAGTGGCATAACTGGATCTGCAATACGAGCTCTTGAAAATATAAGTAAAATTGGTACTAAAGGGAGAGAAACCTATATACATACATACATACATTATATATTGATTGAAATTGAAATGCCTTTAAAAAAATTATCTTATCACTCAGAAATAAATAAATTTGTTTGTTTTAATTATTTACATAAGTCCTCCAACTCCATGGTTCATTTAAAAGATGGTGACCATTTTCAAGACCAAGCATTGTGACCATTGCATATGCTCTACAAAAAAAATTTAATTTTTAATTTTCAAACATTGAAAAATAATAGTGGTAAATTGTTTAATAAGAAAAATTGATAATACCCATAATGAACATTTGTAATTACTACTGCAAAGGTTAAACCAAAAATTGTGAAATATGGAATTAATGCTTGAATTGAATTATCTACAAATGACATTACTCTCAATATAAGAGGAGTATGTTCGTTTAAACGATATAGTGCTTTGCATTGTGGGCATCTAACCTATATATATATATATTATTAATTAGTTGAAAATAATAAAAATAATAACAATATTATTACTGCTGTTATCGTTCATTATATTATATCCTGTTATATTTATTAGTATCATTGATATTATTTTATTACTTAATTATCAAAGGAATATATTTAACCTTTCCAAGAACCGCACTTTTTTGTTTTTCTGTAATCCAATTCAACAAACACTCTTCATGACATATTAAAGAACATCTACAAGGTTTAACCCACTTTCCAATACTATCATTCTCCTCTCCATAACAAATCCAGCACCTTCTTTCCTCTGTATTATGAGTGTCTGATTGTATAATTGACGAGCTCGTTGAAGTTTCATTCAAGTCAATAAAAATATCTTCACTAGAAATAGCAACAGGCTGATCTCCTTCTTCTCTATGTAAAGGTTGACTTTCTCTTATCACAGATTGAGAATTAATAAATTGAAAAGGACTATTCATTCGGTGTTGAAAAGTTGTTGTGTTAGTATTTTCAAGATCTTGTTGAAATTCAATTCTGTTCAACTGATCAACAGATGGATGCATTTGTTGAACTTGATTAGGTGGTTCATTCTGACGATTTACAAATTGAGTAAAGGGTGTGGCCATATTTCAAGAAACTATGTTGAAACAGCTAACTGTTTTGTGGAATAAAGAGTCGGAATCAAAATCAAAGGAATATTTTTTACGTTCACGCCGATCAGTGGGCAAATTTACAGGGGGTCGCTCATATGGGATGCTGTAACATTATTATTATTAATATTAATGACAATGATTTTTTTTATGGTGGTGACTTGGTTGATTTCTTTAACAACAAAGAAATTAATCATCAATTTTTCTTTTTTCTTTGGTGGTGAGTTGGTTGATTCCTTTAACAAATAACAAGGATAAATTTTTTTTTGGTGGCGACTTGTTGATTCCTTTAACAACAAAGAAAGACATGGCTGATTTCTTTTGACAATAAAAAAAAATATCCTTTTTTTCACAGTTGTGGCAAAGTATCTTTTTTACATGTAAAAAGAACTTGGTTTTGACTTTGGCATAATATGTACACATTCTTTTATCCTAATAATTGAATAAAATAATATCCCAATAAAATTTATAAATTCATAAACTGGAATCTATTATTTCTATAGAAGGAGGAAGAAAAGCATTTCAAATTGCAAAAAGATTCTTAGAACAACAAGAATTTGCTACAAAAAAAAGATGTCAAGTATGTCAGTGAATTAATAAAACGTTTAAATAGTTATTAATATTGAATATTTTAAATTAAAAACCACGTGAAATGATTAACTGTTTGAAATATACCCCACAAAAGTACTGATACAAAAAGGGGATATAAAAGAGGGTATGACTGTATACTAAGTTACTAATTAATTATTTTTTATCATGATTTTTGTTTGTTTATTTGTTTATTTGTTTATTTGTTTATTTTGTCATATATAATGATTTGAAAAAGAACTTTTGGATCCTTTGTTAACAAAGGCTGCCGTGTTACGTATGGTGGAGAACTGAATGACGTGTAACAAACAAATTTTTCGTACAGTTTATTTTAATTGCTGATTAATTGATAAGGATATAAATTGAAAAATGAAAATTGCATTATTTAAATAACAACTTCATCATCACCAAACTCTAGTGATCGATTTATTGTGATTAAATAATAAAAGGATTTCATCATTCTTTGCTTCTATATATTTTTATCACTTTTAAAATCTTCAAATTTAAAACTTACAAAAATCTGTACCAAAACCTGTCTTATGTGCTATGTAAAGGTCGTTCTACACGACTGATAATGATTGTCAGTAAAATTATTCATTACACATGAACAAAACTTTAAATGGCAATTGCGGCTGAAATACCTAACCAAACCTATTTTTTTTAAAAAAAAAGATAATTGAACTTTTGACTTGTTATTTTAATTAAAAAATCATGTCTCAATTAACAGACTTTAAACAAGGAAGAATAATTGGATGTTGGAAAGCAGGTGAAAGTACTCATAACATTTCTGGTGTACTCAATCATTCTCAGTCACAAATAACTTGTGCAATAAAAGTGCTTAAGGAAGATGATAAAACTACTATTACTCCTCCAAAAAAAATATAAATGAATTAGTTTCTTATTTAATGGATGAATGAGCTAATTTTGATCCTGATTGTTTGCAAAAATCGACTAATTGACTATTTAACACTTATAAAAGATTGCTCAAATCCCGCAACACTGCTTTTTTCCTTACTTGGGATAGATTGTATGATTTTGGTTTTGATCCACTATTTTTTTTTTGTAAATTCAGTTTGTTGTTTGCCTATATTTGTAAATAAATGCTCATTATACATGAGTGAACAAATGATCGAACAATCAAACAGATTAAGTGAGCATTGAGCTGATTAAAAAATAAATTTTTACTAAACACAATTTTTTGGGAAACATGAGATGAAAAAAATGAGACGTTTCTTTGATTTAGTTAAAAATTTTTTTTTTACTCTGAAAATATCATTAATGATTTATTTATTACTAATTATTTTCACTATTTGTTCATCTGATGTTAAAAAAATTGATCTTTCCTTACCTTTTTGGTTTTATTTTTTTATTTTTTATTTTATTTTTTATCTACCACGTCCATCTATTGGAGAGGCTTCTTTTCATTTGTTTGCTGCGGTTTAACCTTTGATCAACTAACCTCCATGATAGTCATTTAATCAATCATTACTTTAATAATCACAAATGATCTTGTAACAATTATTATATTGTTGTACTTTATTAAGACTTACTTTAATAAAATGTATGAACAATAAGAATTTGTTTTAAAATATTATAACTGCTGTGTTCATTAAGGTTTCTGGTCCAAACTGTTTTCTCAAAGCCCAAACTAGTTTGGGCAATTTGGGCTTCTCAACATTTTCTATAAGCATGAACATTAAAAAACTATATGAATCAACTTGTTTTAACTTAAACAACTTTAAAATAATTTCGCCCAATTTCGGCTAATAACAAAAAGTAGTTTGGGCTTATAAAAAAATAATTTTTGCCCAAAGTATTTGGGCAATTTCGGCTACTAATAGAAGCGATTTCGACCAGAAACCTTAGTGTTCATATATATTACTAAATCTATTTACTGTAGTAGCAAAACCCTACAAAGTGAACAAAAAATTATAAAATTATATATATAGGGATAAGTGTATATGAAAAATAATAATAAATATAATGGTTCTAATGAATATTGAAAAGCAATTGATTTTTTAGAAAAAGGTTGTGATTGTGGTTGCTCTTCAAGAATTTCTAAGGAAGAATTTGCAGAGTTAAGGGAATCCTTTCAAGCTCTTTCTAAATCAGAACAAGGCATATTTTTAATGGTCCAACTTAAGACAATGGATGGTGGATCAACAAGTGCTAGCAGATGCCTTAAAAAGAAAGCCAGGTCTAATAAAAGAACTTTCTATTGCTGAGATCACAATACACTTCTTTGTCAATAAACTTATCTCAATATGTTAGGAATTGGTAGAACTTATTTTGAAAATATTAGAAATCATTTGATAAACAGTGGTCTTCTGCCAAGAATTCATGGTAATATTAAAAGAATGCCTCGATGGAAAACCAAAATGTTGATTGATAAAAATGTTGCAGAAGTAGTAAATAATCTTCTAGAAAATTATGCAGAATTCTATGGATTATCCAAGTCCAGGAAGAAGTAACAATAGAATAACTCAGTCAATTGTATTTTTACCAGCTGAAATGAGTTATATATAAATCAGTCCACAGGGATTTTCTGGCTGGTCTAGAAAAAGATAGCAAATTGAAATCCTTAAAATATTAATATGATGCATACAGAAAATTATGACATCAATTGACACCAGAAATTCAAATTATGAGTCCAAGGACTGACCTATGTGATACTTGTCAACATTTAGAGATGGTTTACATTATAATGCTCATCATGAGGAAGAAGCTAAAGATTTACTTAAAAGATTTAGAACATTTATCCAAGGCCAAACTAGAAGGAAATTATTATAATAAAAACACCAAATTAGCAGAAGAACAAAGGAAATTAGTTAATCAATATTATTCAAAGGGTAAAACACAGTATTGTAGTACTGATGATACTGCTCAATATAGTTATGATAGAGCCCAAAATGTTCATGTGCCACATTTAGATCAACAAGTAAGTAAAATCTATTATCTTAGTCCATGTAAAGTTCATTTATTTGGTATTCAAGGTGAAGCAGTAAGAGAACAAATTAATTATGTTCTTAATGAAGATGAAATTATAGGAAAAGGACTCAATGGAACTCTTAGCATGATTTTGATGGAATTAAAAAATTGAATAAAGGTGAAAAGCATTTAAAGATTACTTGTGATAATGCTGGGAGACAAAATAAAAATAATGTAACAATTTGGTTTTACTTGTATTAGTAATTTGTGGTTATTATGAAAGTATTGAATTAAATTTCATGATTCCTGGACATACTAAATTCAAATGTGATGGTAGTTTTGGTTTAATAAAAAAACTCTATAGGAAAACAAGAGTAGATTATCTGGGTCATGTGGTTGATGTGGTGAAAAGATCTAGTCCAGCAGGATTGAATAAAGCTCAATATTATGAAGGTGGAAAAAGTTTTCAATACTTAGATATTAAAGCAATTTTGGGAATTTATTTCAAGAAATTACCAAGCATAGCATAATGGACATTCGTTTATCACATTGTGACTTGATTTCATTGGCTAAATTTTACGATATCACCCTTCAAAAAATCACACAAAATTCAAATTTTATTGGCTTGAAGATCTTTTACAAAAACAAAATTTATAATTTATCAAATATTAAAATTGTTTTAGGATGGTCAACATCCAATGTAGTTGATTGAATATGGATATAAATGTATGCATAAAATCATAATAAATAGTTTCCTTTGCAATCCCAACCATTTTTCCTCTTTGCATTGGGTGGGTTAATTAACCAAATATGAAGAAGAATGCACTTCAAAAATTATAAATGCTACAATTATGAACACACGTGTTTTTTCCTACACATTCACATCATTTTGAATGATATCAAATATTCATATGCCTATATATCCCTCCCACATATTAATTGAATTTTACATCATGATCAACCATTAATGTTATTAAATATGCAATGAAGTATACCTATTATTTATATTAGTTGTAATACACTTTATTATCTATCTAGTTTTGATTTTCGAGGATTCTCTGTCATCTTTGAAATAATAATAATAATAAAAAATAGAATTGAGATATTTTTCCTTATATTTTTAATAATAGTTGTATATATATACAAATAAACATATTACTTCTTTACCTGCTTATTATGTCTATATATTAGTTTTTCTTTGAGGATTCTCTGTCATCCTCGAAATAATAAAAAAATAGTTATATATATATATATATATATATATATATATATGGGGGGTTTTCTAGCAAAAGGTAGTACCAACCAATACTGATCAACTAATGTTGCTTCAAACTCAGACACTAAAAACAGCTCAAGCACATTATTATTATTATTGCGTATTACTATTATGTGCAGTTAACTTCAAAAGTCGAAAATTCGAAAAAGCATCAATTTAACACAACTAATATATATGTAAAGACAATTTGATTTTATGAAGTGTAATAATAACGAATAGTTTTAATTGTAAAAAAGAAGAGCATTTTGTTTTGAAGGAAAAAAACAAATAGATTAATTAAGTAAAATTTATCCCATTCTTTTTGCATTATTGCAATATACATCTTTATTCATTCCCGGGACACACTTTTGCATAACTTGGAACTTTTGATAAACCTTTTATCATTATCATTATTTCAAGTGTTTTTACTTACATCAAGTGGTTTTAATTACGTCAAATGATTTTACTTACTTCAAGGACTTTTACTTTAGTCAAATCATCAAAATAGCCCTGGCGAGAGACTACCTTTAGTCAATACTTTAGTTACGTCAATGGCTAAAGTCAAAAGTTTCATCATACATCATTACTGGACAATAGGCGCAATATCTTTTCATCATAATCTTTATTATTAGTTTTCAAATTTATGAAACCATGGTAAATATTTTCAATGAGGTGGTAAAACATCAATCATACAGTAAAATAATGATACAAAATCATCATTTAATTTATATGGTTTGCACTTAAGCCAAGCCTCCAAATAATTATCTGACGTGAAAAATAATGTCATGCTAGCATCAGTAACCTTTGCATCGCCTAGCATAACTGTTTATATATATGAAAATATTTTGCAGACAATCAAGTATATATTGTATTGAGCAGAACTAAATAAATCTTGAAATTTGAATTAAATGCTAATGAATAACAATAGTTAATAAAAATGAAATTAAATGATCTGTAATAAAAAGTCTGCTATTTAAGAATATATTAATTTATTTAATAAATATTAAATTTTACATTTTGATTTCTTTAAATTGTTGATCTTGTTGATCATACCATAATTCAAATTTTTCATTATTATTACTACTACTATTGGGATTGTTTTTATCAATTTTATAAATCGAAATAGCAATTTGAAATTCTAAATCATTTGTTATTTTAACAAAGTTATTAAAGTAATCTTTATACTTTAATTGTTTGATAGTACCTGTGGCAAAATTGTATGATTTTTCTATTAAATTTGTTAGATTGGAAAGTTTGTAGGATTTGGTGATGAGATAATTTTTGACCTCGTCAGTGTTGCTGTGATGTAACTTTATAATTAATCGTTCTTCCTAATTGTTTAGATGATATTATATAAAAGAAAGATTTGCTTAGTCAATCAATTGTATAATGAATTAAAATAAGAATAAAAACCAACTTGCATTTTTTTCATTCTTAATTTCTTCCTTATTATTATTATTGTTATTATTATCATCATTGTTATCATTAATACTGCTACTATTATTACCATTACCATTACCATTATTAATCTCCTCAACTTCAAGATCATCAAACAACTTAATTAAATCAACTTCAACATTATTATTTGAAGTATTATTATTATTACTGCTGTTATTATTATTGCCATTTTTATTGTTTTTTGGAGTTAGGATTTTGAATTTTTGATAACAAAATTTGTCACTGTCACTATTATTATTATAATTATTAACTCCTTTTTTATTCTCATCATAATCATTCATATTTTTATCACTATTACTATTATTATATTTGTAGTCATTACCATACTTCTTATTTTTATTAAAATTACCATCATGCTTTTTTTTACTATAATTGTTACTATCTGAAATTCTCCCCCAATCATCTTTCCAACTTGAGTAAGATTTATTTTTTCTAGCTTTTATCATATAATTTATGTGCAATCCTGCTATATCAATTTCTTGTTCTGATACATCTTTATGCATATATAAAGTAATTGATTTTGCACTTTCTTTATGCAATTTTAAAATGTTATATAAAATTTTAGGTTATATTGATTATATTGATTGATATATATATAAATTATCATATTCATATATATATAAACTTACTCATATTTTCAGTAATTACTTTTTTCTTTCCGGCTGTGTACTCTGAATTCCAATTATAATTAATCTACACATTGATATAAATGATAATTAGTAATAATAATATATAGTGATATATGTATTATCTATCTTTATATTATTACTATTAATTATATTATTATTTACCAAACATTTGTCCTCATCATTTAAATATAGACAAATAACTCTATCACTAATTTTTTCAATTCCTTCTAAAGCTTCAATAGGGATAAAAATTTGCCCATTATGCACCAAGTACAAAGTCAATTTATGTTCTAAATATTTATATCGAAATTTTGGTAATCCAACAGATTTATTATTATTATAAGGTTTCTTTACATGATCTAGTTTGTTGGTTTCTTGAAATGAATCAATTTCTAGTAAAACCAAGTGTAATTGAATAATTGGTGATTTTGCCTTCCATGAACGTATATAACTTGCATATGGTTTATGAATTGGCATTTTTGTAATACTAGTATTAGAATCATTATTATTGATTGTTGCTGTTGATGATGTCGTTCTTGATCCTGACCTTTCTCTTGATGATGATGATCTTGTTGTTGTTGTTGCTGTTGTTGTTGTTGTGGATGAAGGTGAAGATGAAGGTGACCTTTGATTGTAGAAAGTTTTTGTTGCTGTTGTTGTTGTTGCTGCTGCTGTTGTTGTTGTTGTTGTTGTTGTTGTTGTTGTTGTTGTTGGTGGTGGTGATGGTGGTGGTGGTGGTAAAAATGATGAATAAGATTGTTGATGATTTGAATGGTAATAAAAATTTGGTAAATTATTATTATTGTTGTAATCCATAATATTACTGTCATGATAGTTAAGCTTAATATTAATTTTATTAATATTATCAATATTTAAATCATCATCATTATCATCATTATCATTATAATTATCTTTAATAATAATATCATTATTAATATTTGCTATAGCTGTTTCTTGTTCTTCTTTAGCTATAGTTGTTACCTCGTCATTTTCTTTTTCTACTTCTTGTTGCTGTTGTTTTCGTTGTTGCCCATCATTATTACAAATACCAAATTTGTAAATATAATTTTCTTTCTTTGCCTGTTAAATTTTATTTTTCCAAATATTATTATTAAATAGACTATTATCGCTGCCATTATCATCATCATCAAAAAATACAAACCTCCATATTTTATATAATTTTCCTTTTTCAACCCTTTGGAATTTCTAATTTATTGGAGATAATTTTTTATGCAATCACCACTCGTCACAAAATAATTTCGGTGGTATATACTATTATAATTATTACTATAAAGTTTGCTAATGCCACAAATGTATAACACATTGTCTTGGCCACCATAAGAGTGGAGAGCCAATATTTAAAAATAAAATTTTAATACCTTTTGCTAATTATGGAATATTTGGTTTTTTTATTATCCTCAATAATTGAACTCATAAAAAGGCCCATTAACGGACTCTCGAACTTTTTACAACGCCAGGATTAGAAGCTTCAAAAAGAAAATGTTGAATTCCCCCGTCCATCCAATTAAAATTATTTTGCACAATTAAAAAGATCTGCGTCGATATAGGTTTAAGCATTTCTTCAAGCACACAGAGACAACCTAGATTTAGAGCAAGCGATACATTTCTGGAACGAGAATTTTTGCAGATATAAGATGCTGGTCGGTGAATAGTTGCTAAAAATCAATTCTTTCTTATATCGAGCGCTGACTGTACTTATGTAAATTACTTACTATTACACACTCTTATCATTATTTTAATTTTAACATTTTTAAATTTAATTTATAAATAAAATAAAAAAAAATGTCAAATGCACAAATTCGTGAATTCGTGATCTTTTAGAATATTATGATAGATTTATATCGAAAGACTGATCAGATACGACCTATAAGTCTTTGTTTAGTATATTATTTAATTATATTTGTTATATTATAATAGTAATACCATTTTTATTCACCGATAATTTGAATTTAGTTGTTTGATATAACAGAAATGGATTTAATAGCAAATATAAATTTTCAGAATTGGAATCAAATTAATTAAATCATTTGATAATAGCGCGTATACAACCACGATAAAAGGAATACCGGAAAACCATCCATTATACACTCAATCCGGACCAGGATTAGGACCAATTGATACATCATCATCAACCACTTCAACCTATCAACAACAACAACAACGCTAATGACAAATCTTAGTAAAAGCGTAATTGTTACTACCACCACTGCACCTAACTCTTCTATACGAGCATTAATTGATGATGAAAATGGAGGTGGAAGTTATGATTTTGGTTACAATAATAATTGCGTTTATAATGATATTTGTGGCTATTATTGTAATAATAATGTTGTATATATGTATGTTATTGATTAATATATTAATTATTACTATGGTGATGAATCTTCTTCCACCGCTTAATTATGGTCAATAAAATTTTTACAATAATAATCTAGACGACACATCACCCCAGCATTATCTACACCTCCAACAGCTTCTACAATTATCAATCTGTTAAAAACATTGCTACTGCTAAATTTTAATGATCATTGCATCACCCAACAAAACTAATCTCTCAAGAATCCCAATAATAACAAAGTTGTAAATAATAATAATAATAATGGTAAAAGATAATATAAACGACATCCAAAAAGTGACAAGAATGCTCCGGTAAAACTATTACGTGATGTTTCTCATAAAGTTCGTGAGGTAAAAATATCTCTTTCGCTGATATGGCTAAAATAGTTGGTGATTTATTATTCCAGTGAAAGAGGAAAAAATGATAGAGAATGAGGCTGGTAGCCAAGGCAAAGAAGAATATTTGTATGACTGTCTACAAAACAACTGATAAATGGAAATAATATTAAGAGTATCTTGGAGATTCTAAAGAGAATCATGATCCAAATTGTAAATTATCCCCAGGCTTTTTTTTAAAATAATAACCTTGATTAATTTTTTAGATCGTGAATCAAATAAATAAATTCGAAGTTAATTCACTTCGAGTACAAGGTCAACTTCTCTTGGTTATGTGGGTGGTGGTGGTGGTGGTAGCAATAATGGTACCATGTTTAGAAAAAAATTGCATGATCATATTATAACACGACAAAAAAAAATAGTTGGAAAATTAAAATTTTTATTTTTAAACATGATATTAGATTTTGAATTCCTCGTAGTGCTGTCATTGTCTCATCCAATAATTAATATGAGTGTCGTCTTCTGGTTCTTTATAATGTACTTTTACAGCTTCAAAGAAATTTGTTATATATTCTTTTTTATATTCTTTCACGTAGTAAAAACCAACGTATTTCAATTATTACTTTATTCAACAACGAATTGCAAGCTTGATTTATTAAATTCAAAGAATCATTTATTCTTAGATTGATCAAGAATTTAAAATAAACAAAACACATATCCACACAGTTGGAACAATCCTATATTCGAATAAATTTGATTTAACGATCGAATTATTTACAAAAATACCTTGTCACTTAGTTTACCATCAATCAAAGTTCCAAATTTTCTATCGTCATTTTAACAAATTCCAAGGTTTAAAACTGATATAAAGATTATTTCCAATTTTACTAATGAAATGTTTTCTAGTGATGAAATAGGATGAAATATTATTGTAAGACATTTTGTAGGATATTTTATATAAACTATACGATCACTTTAATCATACTGGGTGACGAATCTTTATCTCAATGATAATGGCCATGCCAAGAATTAGTTTCTGTACAAATGAACATTTTTTAATTAATAAAGAAAATATACGTTATAAATAAATTTTTTGTTTCTATATAGTGTATTATTTGTTATTGTAATTAAGGGAATATGAATAGATTAACTAGCTAGGTGACGATGACAGCGAAGAAGAAGATAATAGATCATTTATGTTACTTTTTATGATTTCTGAATAATTCTTATTTTCTATAATGTTTGCGATCTCTTTTGCCTTTTCAATTTTCCCATTTGAAGCGTAAACTTTAATCATTTCCCCATAAGTACTTGGATCTTTTGAAAAATCACCCATGCTGTTGAATATTTTTTCTGCCTTTTCCAATTGCCCCAACTCCCCATAACTTTTAATAAATAGATTATCAATACTCGTGGATTTAATATTTTCTTTGGATATCTCATCATAATATTTTTCAGCTTCCTCAATTTTCTCATTGTTCACTAAAGCTTCTAATAATGCTTTGAAGACTTCACCGTTAGGGATAATATTATATGAAGATTTTAAAGAATGGAACACATCCAAGGCACTGTTTAAATCTTTTTGACAACATCCATATGCATAGATTAATGATGCATAATGCGTTGCTTGAGGCGTTATGCCTTTCTTTTTCATATCTTCCAAGATATCCAATGCTGACTTCATATCATATGGCTCAATTGTAGCATATAAATCTATTAATATTTTGTATGTGTGCGAATTGGGTTCTAGATTTCTTTGTTGGCTTTTGTGATAGAAAACAAGCGCTTTTTTTCTATTAGGGACATCTGTGGTATAGTATTGCATCATGGCATTATATTGTGTAATACGTGTTTGAATATTTGAATTTTCCAGCTGTTGAAACAATTCAAGTGCCTTTTTTTCATGTTTTGCTTTAGTGTAGGCTGAAATCAAAGCTCCATATGTGACAACATTGGGTAAAAACTGGTTATTTTTCATATCGTCATAGACTTGCTGAACCAAGTCAATCCTAAGTGCTTTTCCAAATTTACTTATCAAAACATTACAAAGATATATTGATGGCCTGACCTTAAAATTTTTTATTTCTGAATAAATCTGTAAAACTTTTGAGATGTCATATGGATCATCCTCTTTTTCAGCCACCAGAAGATCAGCATATGCACCTGCATCAGGGTGCCAACCTTTTTTGATGATTTCATCATGCACCTTATAAGCTTCGTCCGCCATGTTGTTACTGGCATAAGCAATCAACATACTATTATACACATAGTGTAATGCTTTTTCCCTGACTTGCTTGTTCCAATTAGTATAAAAGCCCAAGAAAAGTTTATATATTTCTTGAGCTTCCTCTAATCTATTTTGTTTTCCGAGATTTCTGATTGCTTGACTGACAAGTTCAGGTGTAGGTAATAGGTTGTCATTAAGCATTTGCTTGATTCCTGCCAATATTAAACCAGGTTTAATATCATTACCTCTACAAATACTTGCCAATTCTGATGATTTATTTATTTCATCCATTGTTGGATTACGACCCTTCATTTGATCTAAATTCTCGACTTTATTTTTATCTGCTTCAAAAACAACAACATTGTCATCAACATTGTCATTGACATTGATACCAACACCACCATCATCTCCACTATTAACTTCCTTCTTTTCATCACATATTTTTGTCATTGTGAGATATAATTCATTCCATTTTTTGATAGCTTTCTCATCACCAATTTCTTTCAGAGCATCAGCATATCTTTTAATTGTATGGTATGGGACTATAACACCAGTTGCAATAAAATCATCCATCAATGACAGTAATCCATTAACATATTCATCATGTGTGTTGTTTACAGATTTTTTAAAACCAAAACTATCAAATAAACCAGATATTTGTTCGTTGGAAAGTGATTCTAATTGAGAAAAGTGTTTTGATTCGTTTTTTAATCCATTATATTTCCTAATCAAAATATCATTAATAACACGTGATATATCAAAAGAGCGATAATAAAATTTTAATTTGAAATCTATTGCTTCGCTTAACGAAACACTACTATGGATTATTAAATCATCTAATAAATCTTGAAATTGATAAAATCTTTCTATACTACTCAAAGATTTTTCAAGATTTAACAAAATCCTTGCCACAATATCTAATGATTTTGAGATGCTTTCAACCTCTGAATAATGACTAATAAAAACTTTTGTAAGATAATTATCAAAAACTTGACCTGAATTTAATAATTCATCTAAAAGGCCATTTAAATTATCTATTCGATATTTAAATGTGGCATAGATGTAAACACTGAGTGTCATATGGTGGATTTTCATTTTTTTATCCATCATGATATTGAAAATATCAGTAGCTTTATCATAATCTCCAGAGGTTGAATAGTGCAATAAAAAAGTAGAATAAATCAGAGAGCATCTATGTTGTTGTGATAGTGACAATGATGACAATGATGAAGATGAAGATGGTGATGATGATGATGATGATGGTGATGACAATGATTGTAATAGATGATTATTGTATTTATTGAGATATTCATTGGCCAATTTAATTTCACCTCTTTCACATAAATACTTTATAAGATAATAATAAGTCAAGTCATTTGGCTCGAGGTTATTCTGAGGGATAAGTTCATCCATAACATTTGTTGCACCTTTTAAATCACCACAGTTTATGTGGGCATATATCAGTTGATTGTAGATGGCTAACGGGTTTCTAATTTCGGTGTGATATGATGGTAACTGTTTCAGATATTCTTGATAACATTCCAATGCACTTTGTATATCACCAATTGTACCATACAAACGAACCAAATATCCATATGTAAGTGGTGAAACGATCTTATTTTTTTCCATAATCTCAAAAATATTTAACGCTTCCATGACTTTACCACGAAAAGCAAATGAAAATAATAGCTTATCACATATATTACCATCATACAAAAATCCATTAATGTTAAAAGTGCCTTTAAGCATTTCTAATGCTAAATCTATATTTTTTTCTTCATCAATAAAATTATCCAAACCTTTCGATGCGTATCTGTCTTTTGGATTTAACTTTAATCTCATAGCCCAAAATATTTTCTGGTTATTGATTTCATGATCTCTTTTATAAATTTGTTTTATCAGTATAGAATGAGTATAGAGATTTGGCACAACTTGATTTTCTATCATTCTATGATAATAATTTACCATTTTGGATACAGCACGTGGTTCATTCTTCAGATTATTAATAGCATCGAGAATTATATTGTAGGTTGTTGTATTTGGAGTTATTCCATAATCGTTCAGTTTTGAATACATTCTTTCTACCTGGGTTAATTTCTGTGGATTTTTTTTAATTCGATGTGTTATATCTTCATTGAATTCTTCTATTGAAGAAAAATCATTTAAAATTTCTAAAACATTTAATAATATTTTTTTATTTTGATTGACTCCATAATTGCTACTATTAATTCCACTACTATCAATATTATTAACGTTAAAATCGCTATTGACATTACTAACATGACTAACATTAACATTGCCAGCAATATCATTTACATCTCTAACGCCAATATTACTACCACCACCATCAACAACGTCACCACTACTATTTGACGTTGCATTGATTGTATAATTCCTATTTAGCTTAGATGAATTGTTATTATCTGATCTTGTAAATGAATGAATATCAAATAAAACTCCTTTACATCTTTTAATAGGATTTAGATGATTAGAATATAGACTATTATAATAAATGTTTTTATTGTTTGTTGTAGATAATCGAAGATTTTGATTCATTCCTTTAGAAAAACCAGATCTCACATAATTGCTAATTGTTCTTCTATTCATAAAACTTTCTCTTATATTATTACTATTTTTATTATTATATCCTATAAGTGGTAATAGAAGCGTTGAATTTTTATTGTTATTTAAAAGAATGTTTCTGGCGTTCTTGTGAGTTATCGATGTGAGAATAACTCGCGATTTAATGTATTCCATTCTACTTTATTATTATTAAAAACTTTTTTTCCCAAAAAATTAAATTATAATATATACACCTATACATACATGAGATATTAAAAAAAATGCTTCATATAAATAATATTTTTTTTTACAACAAAAAAGATTCCTCTTAATGATCGGCGAGGTGCATTTGTAAATTTCTCGATCAATTCTCTCGATATAATGAACATAATACAGTCAACCTTGTCGCAACGGATGAACGGGACACATGAGAAAATTTTATTCAATATCCGTTGTGACAAGAATTTAATTATAATCCGCTGTGACAATGTTTGACTGTAATATTAGCGGATAAATTTCTTGGGCTAAACTTATCTGCTAAATTGAGATTCACTGTGTATCTGATTGCGTTTAAAAACAAATAATAAAAAGGAAAAATCTTTGATTGATCAGATCTCTAAACCAGCCACATGAGTTGAACTGATCAAAATCTTGTGCAGATGTTGAGCAGCCATTATGAGTTTTAAGACAGGCGGCAAATCGCAACCCCTGGAGCATATTATTATACACAAATCATTTATATTTACCCACTTTTTTTCACTATTATATACATCCATCAAGGAAGGAAAAGAACCTTCATCTTTCGGCTATCCATTTTTAGTTTGGTGTTGTATGAATGGATGTGTCCAATCCAACATAGTTTTGGTTTTGTTGTTGCTTCTTGAATAGTCAAGAAGTCAATTGTGTAAAGGTCTATATGACCAGTTTTTAGTTGTGAAGTTGCTGGTGGATTCATCCAACTAAAATTTAAGTTTTTTAAATATGTGTGAACTTTGTTAAGTTTGTTAAGTAAAAGTTTAAAGAATAGCACTTTTAATTTCTCTTAAGTTGTAGAAGGGGGAATTTTTTTTTTTTCTTGTGAGCTGTGGCCATGATGAGAAAAGAATTTTAAATTTATAACTAGAAGAAATTCATGATAATAATAATAATAATAATAATAATAATAATAATAATAATAATAATAGTGGTAGTAGTGATTGCAACAAGCACATAAATCACATCCAGATGCATATCATATAAGTAGAATATTAGATGAGGAGATCGCTAAATCAAAAAGCTTAAAAAGTTACACAAGTAATTATAGCCTGTTAAATAATCTCTTTTCTCTAGAATATGAATAAAAATTTCATTGGAGCTTATTATCCATTAATTATCACTAACAATATTTTTTATTGCCTTAGATTTTAATAATCAAAAGAAGGAATCGATCAATGACTAATTTAATCTCCTAAATTATTTGTTATAATTATTTGTCTTTTTATTTTATCTTTATTTTATTTCTTAAAGCCAAATTATTTCGAAATAATATCTTTTTAAATGGTGGTATCATTTCGGTTAATTAACAGTTATAGCTTAACTTTTGGTTACTCTTGTTAGTTAATTGCAAATAATTCAATATTTGCCAATTAATTAGTCTACAAATTTAATTTGGCTCTCTCTTTCTTGCACCTATACAAATTTGTGAGCACACTCGATTAAAGCTCGGTTTCGGTTTTTAAAAAAAATTTTCAATTACAGTCAAACTCTCGCTTTAACGAACTTCGTCCCAGCGAGTTATAATTAAATTCGCGTTTCAACGAATTTTTAAAATCTTGTTACACAAAATAATTCGTTGAAACGTGATTAGTAATCTCGTTTCAACGAATTTTGAATGAAATTTTCTTATATATATGTCCAGCCACTTCGTTGTAACGAGGTTTGACTGTACAAGCTTCTCATATACAATTAAATTAATTAGTAGCACTCTAATTACAAATATTGCACTTAATTACTATTTAGCAATTTAATTATGGAATCTGCTGCACTTCTTGTGTAATTGCGATTCAGTTATTTAATCCCGAAATGGTTCTTCAAGTACTAGTACGAAATCGCTCCAAGCGTAAATCTACGTTAATTTCTATTAATTACAATACATTATAATGTTATCGAAATAAATAAAATGTAATAAAATAAATTATCAAAATAGATTAATGCGAAATTAGAGAATTTTTTTCATGTAATGGTTGGACCTCCTATTGCTGCGCCACGCGCTCAAATTTCAAATATTGCGATTTCGTGATTCGTTAACACAAAAAAAAGATTTAACATTTGCCGTGTCACGATCTCCTTCCAAAACTTGCAAGTAGTGCGACTTCCGTGCAGTTTTCTCGCCGATTGTCTCCTTTTGCGTCTAGCCGCGCCTGGTCTTTTCGGTTTTTGGCGCGATCAACGTT